GTGTGGCTTAAGGAGATCAACACTTTATATCAAGGTGCACACAATAATTAGGCAGCTTCTTTTCTTCAGGCAAAATGGGCCAAAAAAGGAATTTAACTGACTTTGAAAAGTCAAAAATTGTAAAAAATCTTTCAGAGGGATGCAGCACTTTTGAAATTGCTAAGATATTGGGGCGTGATCACAGAGCCATCAAACGTTTTGTTGCAAATAATCAATAGGATCGCAAGAAACGTTTTGAGGTGGGGGGGAAAGACACACATTAACTGCCAAAGATTTGAGAAGAATCAAACGTGAAGCTACCAGAAACTCATTATCCTCCAGTGCTGTCATATTCCAGAACTGCAGCCTACCTGGAGCACCCAGAAGTACAAGGTGTTCAGTGTTCAGAGACATGGCCAAAGTAAGGAAGGCTAAAACCTAACAATCACTGAACTGAATAAGTTGAAACGGCAAGACTGGGCCAAGAAATATCTGAAGACAGATTTTTCAAAGGTTTTATGGATTGATGAGATGAGAGTGACTTGAGTGACCAGATGGATGGGTCCATGGCTGGATCAGTAATGGGCACAGAGGTCCACTTCGACTCAGACACCAACAAGGTGGAGGTGGAGTACTGGTGTACGCTGGTATTATTAAAGATGAGCTATTGGACCTTTTCCAGTTGAAGATGAATTCAAAATCAACTCCCAAACCTACTGCCAGTTTTTAGAAGACACTTTCTTTAAGCAGTGTTACAGAAAAATCTCTGCATCTTTCAAGAAGACCGTGATTTTTATGCAGGACAATACCGATCTCGTATGCATTAAAGCAGAGGTCACCAACCTTTCTCAGTTGGCGGACCAGAGGGAAAGGGAGGGGGAAACATTTTACACACACGTGATGCAAATGGGGTGGGGCTAGAGCCCGCATGATACTCACTAGCCCTGCCCTGTTCTTGTGCAGTGCAGCGCCCCATTTCCACGCTCTGCGGCGCAGCTGCACCCATTTTTGCATGTTTTAGTGCGGTGGCAGCCCATTTTTGTGCCCCGAGGCATAGTAGCATCCCATTTTTGTACCCCGCGGTTCAGCAGCGTCCCATTTTCATGCCCTGAGGTGGGGTGGCAGCATCCTGTTTTCGCCAAGGCATGGTGAAAGCGCGAATGGGGTGTGTGTGCACACATGTGTGCACACTGGCCAGCCTGTCTTGCAGCCTGGTGGCCAGTAGGCCATGGCCCACTACCAGGCTGCGACCCACAGGTTGGGGACCCCTGCATTAAAGTATTCCATTGTGTGGCTTTCCAGTAAAGGCCTTAAAGATGAAAGAATAATGACATGGCCCCCTTCCTCACCTGACCTAAACCCTATTGAGAACTTGTGGACCCTTCTTAAACGGGAGATTTACGATGAAGGAATACAGTACAATTCTCTGAACAGTGTCTGGGAGGCAGTGGTTGCTGCCACATAAAATGTTAATTGTCAACAGATCAAGAAACTGACAATGGAAGGCTTATGACAGTTATTGAAAAGAAGGGTGGCTATATTGGTTAGTGATTTCTTTCTTTTCTTTTTTTTTTTTGAAATGTCAGAAATGTTTACTAGTACATTTTAAATTGTTTGTTAATTATTCTCACTTTAACAGATGCAAATAAATGAGCAAGATGGGCAAATTTTTATTTTTCATTTAGTTGCATACTAATAGTTGCCCAATAATTGTGCAGACATAGATATTCTCCTAAGAAAGCCAAAACCTCACTTTTACTTTAATATTCAGATTTGGGGTTTATTTTGGATTGATTGGGAGCACTGTAGTTGTTCAATAAGAAAATTAATTCTCCAAAATACAACTTGCTTAATAATTGTACAGTGTATATATAATATAATTCTGACACTATGTAATTACATTATTTATATAATTACATTGTGGATAAGTGTATATCATCATTTTGTATCATTATGGTTTCTACAGAAGCTGTAACACCCTATATACTACATAACATCGAAGTTTATTAAAATAGCGTTACCCAAGTTTTTGGAGTGGGTTTGTCTTGTTAAATTCAATGCCCTTATTGCACATACACTCCTCAAATTTTCACTCACGTAAATTGCTAAGGGATTTCAGCACAGCATTTGTTTTTGTTTTAAAATTCAAAGTGCACAACTTATATTTAGTAACATTTTCTCATTCAGCATCAGCAAATAAGTATTGTATTCACAGAATAAAATCCACAAGCCCCATTTGAACTGGCCAAAAGGACTCTTCTTGACAAATAAAATTTTAGGGGAATTTTTTTTTCAATGCTTTATTATGGATTTTACAGTCTAAAATCAGTTTTGGAAATTGCTTATTAACTTTTCAGCTATTAAAATCTTGGAGTAGTCAACATTGACAGCACCAAAATTCGTAACGAATACAAGGAGTTAAAAAAATTCAATTATTCAATTATTTTGAATAAAGGTGATTGGAATGTCAATCCTGGAAATTTACAGAGTAAAGATTCAAATAAATTGAAATAAAAGTTTGAGATTAATTTTTAGAATCCTTCCTATGGAAAATGCTCTTGTTTTGAATTCTTTAAAAAAAAATAGAATGGGATTTTGAAGGTGGGACACTAGGGCAGGGGTCCCCAGCCCCCGGTCCATAGACTGGCACCGGGCCGCAGCATGCCAGAAACCGGTCCATGCAAACAAGCAAAGCCCCATCCGCGGGATGCAGACAGTACATGAAACCACGCCCTCTCTGGGCTGCGGAAAACCGTCTCTCCACAGAAGTGGTCCCTGGTGCCCAAAAGGTTGGGGACCTCTGCACTAGAGCATGGATGTCCAACCTTTTGGCTTGCCTGGGTGCACTGAGACAAGAGGACAGGGGTCGCATATAAAAATATATATATTATGTATATAAATCACATAATACTATTAAGGTTTACAATCCTGTGGGGGCTGCATTACTACCGTAACTGTCTACAGCCGCATGTGACCATTGGGTCAAAGTTTGGACACAACTATACTAAAGGAACCCAGAAAAAAACTAAAGATTACAATTAAAAGAGAAGATTTAAATTGGACTTACTAATACAGAGTAAAGCAGAATACTTTAACATTAGACGTGCTGAAGGATATTTGTGAACAGTGGATTCAGAAGTTAATTTTAAAAGTGTATGACATTATAGACAGACTATGTTTAAAAGATGTAATGGAAGAGGAACAGACTTCTGGTTGGGATCTTGCGGCGATGCAGATACAGGAAAACAGGGATCCGTCTTTAGTGTATGGTTTCGCCCCACTGGGGGACCCTGGAAAGGGTTGAAAGTTGCCCTGTAAAGGTGGCAAGCAAGGAGGGGACTCTCGTTGATCACGGGGGAGTGGCAGCCACCCCATCTGATCCGAGGAAGCCCTCCAAACCAGCGGAAGAAAGACTGGCTGCATTTGTGTAGCCAGTCCAAAGCTGTTAACAAGCACTGCCAAGCAACTTTACAGCAACTGGATGAGACCTGATCCTTTCTTCATGATTTTAAGACCTCTTCCTGAAAATCTGCCCAAAGCGTTCCCCCCTAATGAAAGAGAAAAAGGGAATTTCCGTCCCACTCCCTCAGAAAAGAAAAGCGGCGAATTAATACTTGGGGACACTGGCGAAACCTATAAGACTTATCTGGAATTAAAATACACTTATAGCTTGAAAATTTGGGGACCAAAACTGTTTTTAAGACATTTTTTTTAAAGGAAGAGAAACAAATTACACTAGACAAGACTAATCTAAAAGTGAATTTAAAAATGACAGGCTACAAGAAGGATCTAGAAAAATACGCTACACTGAATATACAAATGAAACAGTAGTGTCTTAATAATTAAAAGGGATAGACAAATAACAAACCAAAAGAGTATTCTTGATAACTTTCCTATATTGGATTTAAAAGAGTTATTAAAGCTTTGAAGAATTTTGTGAAAAGGGACCAAAAAACTGCAAAGAAATGAAGTTCTAGAACATTATTTGAAAAAAATTAAAGATCAAGATAGTTAAAATAAAAAGGAAAGAATATAAAGTTGCTTTATTTGATCAGAATTAAAACAGATATCTTTGGAACCCTTAATGAACTTTTGGTGGATTAAACGAAGTTTTAAGGAGTCAATGAGAGATAAGAGATGAGATATGGGAAGAAGAGATTACTTGTTGCATTCTAAAAAAAGGCAACAATAATTGTTTATACTTGTTATTTTCCTTACTATATTGTTATTTTTTTTCTTTCTATTTTCTTTTCTATACTTTCTATTTTTTCTTTTTTCCTCTTTTTTAGTTACATTTTTATCTTTTTAATTGTAATGTTTAATAAAATTACTATAAAAATATAAATGGATGAAAATGGCAATCCATCCCTAGGAATAATGAAATATTCTTATTTAATTATCAAAGTTATATCCCATCATAATCATATAAGACTCTTGGCAGCTCATAAAGATATGAACTGGTAAAGAACGCTTTGATGGAGGCCAACTACAGGAATCCTTTTATCTACAGTGAAGACCACACCATCTATTTACTCCCAAATCTCCCAATCTGGCTGCACATATTGGAAAAGGAAACATAATTTGGCAGCCCAGAAGCACATACCTTTAGACTTTGGATTCAAAGCATTCAAATCTAAAGAAAAGGAGCTGCATCAGATAGCGAAACATGATTAGAATCCCAATAGTATTATAAGGACATGGTCGGGCCCTCTTGACTCTCGGTGTTACTGTCTTTACCTCGTCAAATCCATACCGCCTACCCAACCAGAGCCCAAATTATGGGTTTCCTTGACTCACTCCTCCATTTCTCTTACTCGCTCACTCAGGCGCGCGAGGGGCATATCCACCTGCAGGGCTCCCATCGCATGTTCTCGGTTGCAGAACGTTGCAACGTTGTCGGTCTTTCGCTCGTTAGCTCAGCGCTGTCTCTTGATGCCCACCTACCGCTTTTCCCAGCGAGCTCAAAATCCCCAGAATAGAAACATTTCCTACTGGACGAGCTCCTCCTCTCTTCAACTTACCCAAGCTGAAGATGAAGCAACACGCTCGCCGATGCCGATGCCGCCCCCGCTCTGCCAGCAGCCCGCTTCTCCTGGCTCGACTTTCTACCGCCCAGCACAGCGTTCCATTCGCCTGCTCGGAGACGGGGAAACCAGCCCTTCAACGCCCAGCCCGGGGCTCCTTGATGAGAGATCAGGCTAAAGGTTACCCCTCTCCTTTCGCAGCTTCCCCGTTCGTGCTGCGAAAGAAAAAGGAAAAACCAGGAAGTGAGTAACGCCGAAATTGCCACGCCCTCGCCCTCCGCTTCCCCAGAACCGGAACGCCTCCCTCCCACCGAGGGGACAGACCGTCTCGAAGGAGGCGTGCCGGTCACTCCTGCGGCAGCTGCATTGTTGGTGTCACGTCCTCCAGCAACTAGCATTGCGCTCATTGAATAGAGGCTATTGACTGAATTAAAGTACTCTGAGAGTTGACCCGAGTTCATCCTCACTTTCCACTTGACACAGGCAGGGTAAGAAACACAGATGCGACACAAAGCTTTCAATGTTTATTACCAGTTATCCTTAAGGTACATACTTAGCAGAAAATGCCATTTGTTTCAGTTGAACTTAATACTTAATACGATTGGGTCAAAGAACATTGAGTACAGTCAAGGAAGATTATACTGGTAGGTAGAGGGGAAAATGTTTTATGTATAATTAAAGATGACAAAATATTAAATTAAAATACTGGGAATACTTAAATATCAATTATTGCAATATTCAGTATACTGTAATATTACTATCAAAAGTCTAGAATTAGACTTCTTCAGCTGCCAAAAATAATTTGTGCAGCTTGTAGTATAATTCATCTTGATGTGTGGGGGGAAGGGGGGAGTTCTATTTGCTGATAGGAATATTTACTGATTAATAATAATTATTTATTAATACTATAGTGATCTGAGATGCCCTAAGACAGCAAGCAGCATGTCTTACAGCTTAGGCCATCTTAATATACTAAAAATATACTACAAGTAGACTATTCATTTAGTGACCATTTGACATTACAATAACACTGAAAAAAGTGACTTATGACTGTTTTTCATATTTACAACCATTGCAGCATCCCCATGGTCACATGATTAAAATGTGGACACTTGGCAACTGGCATGTATTTATAACGGTTGTAGCATCCCTGGGTTATGTGATCACCTCGTCATCTTCTGACAAGCAAAGTAAATGGGGAAGCTAGATTCACTTAATAGCTGCTTCAAGAAAGGTCATAAAATGGAGCAAAACTCACTTAAATATCTTGCTTAGCAATGGAAATCTTCGGCTCAGTTGTGATTGTTGAGGACTATCATATTAGTAAATAGTAGCAATCGTACCCTATTACATATTTTCCAAATAAAAAGATTTGTTTCACATGTTGCTTTTTATTTTATTGAAGTTTGCTTTTATACTATTTTATACTATTGATTTTAAAAAATACAGACGACAAAAATATACAATCTGGAAAGATTGTACCATTATAAAAATCTGATTAAAAATAAATTCAAAAGGATCCTAGAGTGACAAAAAACAACACAATCTTAAAATAATATAAGGCTGCATAATTAAAAAGGAATTAAACTAAAGACCAATACTAATTTTAAAATTAAATCAGTATCATTTTTAGTATATTTTGCAAGTTAATTATAGTTTCTGGTCGCATTAGCAGCCAAAAATACATTTTAATAGTTAAATTTAGAATCACAACAGTAATAGTCTGGTTTGGAAGCATCATTGCTTCAGACATGAAGGCAGTGCAGAGAGTGGTGAGGATGGCTGAAAAGATCATTGGCAGTTCCCTCCCTTCCATCCAGGACATAGCACAGAAGTGTTGCTTGAACAGGGTCCGTAAGATTGTCTTCATGACCTGTTTTCCTTGTTACCTTCTGGGAGGAGGCTCCGTGGTATCCGAAGCAGATCATCCAGATTCAGTCATAGTTTTGTTCCATGTAGTATTAACCTTGTGAACTCTCAAGCTTCCTCCTTCCGTTATGTATTCAAGATAGTGATTAATATTTATATGTTACTTATATGTAAGGGTGTAGGT